TTAAAGAGAAACAGATTAAAATAAGAGCTAAGATAAGGCCAAGCATTTTTAACTAGTAATAAGTCTCTGTGCCATTGGTGATTTGGGAACTGGTTGGTACACTAAAAGAAAGCCTGCTACAGACACCCTCTTCTGGCCTCAAACTAACTGCGTAGCACTGGCTGTCCTAAAACTCAGAGATCCACCTGCCTGTGCCTCCCCAATGCTAAAGACATGGGACACCACACCCAGTCCTAAAATAGTATTTTTATATAAGCCACATGCATCCTTCTGTATACTTGAAATTGCCTCCTTTGGAATTTGGGTGGGGGGCAGTTTCAAGACAGGGCTTCTCTGTGAAGCTTTGGAGCCTGTCCTGGAAACTACACTGTAGACCAGGCTGGCCTTGAACCCACAGAGAACTACCTGCCTCTGCCTCCTGAGTGCTGGGATTAAAGGTTTGCACCACCACCTATATTAAAAATACATACAGATGCTGTGTAATCGCCACACTGAACTGTTTAGGAGGCAACCATACAACAAAGTCTTTACATACTCAGTTCAGATCTACCCATCATGGGCTGAACTACATTGTTCATCTGCAAATTTGGAACCCATGGGATATAATGTAGATTAGATTATCAGAAAGTTTTTTTAAGACTTTGGAGATAATTTTGTGGGTTTTGTGATAGAGCTTCAAGGGTTAGGTAGTTCCTCCTGCTCCAGGTCAGTCATATCTTTGTCCCAGAACAAGACAGCATTGTTTGCTGACAACAGACTTTGTTAAATATAATTGGTTATTTGCCCTTTGCCTTGGGAACAAGGCCAAAGTTTGAGTTGCAGAGCACTGTGTGAATCCAGTCTTGGGTGTTCGCTGTCTTAATGACCTTGAAAAACCCAGAAACTCAGAAACCCAGTCTTCCTCTCTAAAATAATCCTAAAAGAAACTGGGGAAGCTTGCTTAGCATTCATCAGGCCCTGGGTTCAAGCCACAACAATAAATAAAAATAAACCAGGCAGTGGTGGTACAAACCTTTAATCCCAGCACTTGGGAGACAGGCAGGGACATCTCTGAGTTTGAGGCCAGCCTGCTCTACCAGCAGCCAGAGCTACACAGAGAAATCCTGTCTTGAAAAACCAAAAAAGAAAGAAGGAAGTTTTTGTTTTACATTTACTTATTCACTTTGTGTGTGTATGTGCCACAACTCAAGCTTAGAAGGCAAAGGACAATTTGAGGATGTCTGTTCTCCCCTCCTACCATACAGGCGCCTTGGGCTCCATGAGCAACCCTGTGTCATGTCTGTCTTGGAAGCAAACATTTCCACCCCAAGTCATCTCACCGGTCTCACGTACACAGTTAAATGAAACCGTTAGTGAGGCTGCCATAGAATGTAGGGCCCTGAATGGACCCCGGAAGCACCTTGAGCAAGCCTGAAGCTGTTGACTGGAACACTCCCCCCACCCCACCCCAGCAGGTGCTACAATAGAAGAGATTATAAATCTATAAATTTCAGATTGATCTAAAAGGTTATCTCTACTCATGCTACCATGGAACATTTATTTCCTCAATTGCTCCCCTTAAGGGAATGAAATGAAGCATTCACTTAGCAAATCAAGTAACTCATGATGTATGCAGCAGTTATACATGAACTGTGCATGATATCTGAAGCATACTATAGAAAATCACCAACATAATTACTATACAAAACTACCACTGTATTCAACTGTGTCCCAACACGCTACCTTTCTTCTAGAGTAATCACTCTTTCCCACATAGCCTCTTTTAAATGACCCAAAGAAGTCCCCTGACTCTAGTTATTTCAAGAGTCAAAGAAGCCCTGCTGGACACTTTAGCTCAGAAATGCGTCTCCATTAGAATTTGTAAGAAAAAGGCTGGAAAGGTGGCACATGCCTATAATCCCAGCACTCTGGAGGCTGAGATTGGACAACTGCCATATGCTTAGCCCTTTTTCTGTTTGTTTGCTTGTTTTTAAGTATGTCTTACTTACTATGTCACATAGATTATCTTACTATGTCACATAGATTGTCCTCAACTCAAAATGATCCTCCTGTCTCAATTTCCTGAGTGCTGGGATTCATGAGTATATTATCATACCCAGCTCTGATGTTTTTTTGTTTGTTGCATCTTAAAAACAAAACAACCCTACAAAGTCTCTTACTATATAGCTTTGGCTGGCCTCAAACTCGCTAATGTAGACTAGTATGACTATTAAAGGTGTTGAGCCACCACACCTAGCCTGGAGCTCTTTTTAAATCGACACAGTTCATCCCTGACTGCAGCTTTCCCTCTGCCCATTGCTCACTAGCCACTTTGGGTCACTTTCAAAGTCTGTCCTTTAAGGCATTGGTGATGGATGGAGCGAAAGCCCACCATAGCAGAGCAGGGAGCCAAACTAAGAAGTGAAACCAAGATGTGTTTCACAACACTTAAAAAACCAAAACTATTTTTGCATTTTAAAAGTAGTGCAGGACGCTAAGTGTTGGGAGGAAGCTTTGGTTTTAACAGTGAAATCTGGAAAAGGTACAGGATACAATAAGGCTAACCTTCAAGGGCTTCTTTTCGTTGAGAATATTCAGTAGATTATGGCTGTTTCTGTAGTCATTTTTGTATGTTAATACAGACTCCTCTCACCAAAATGCTGTCTCCTGGGTGTATTTGCTTCCTAAGTACTAATATAAAAGAACAGTTTGCCCAGGAACAAGGATGAATCAATTTACCCGTAATGATTGGTTCTACCTGAAAGAGATCACACAAAATTTTAGTTAAGGAACAGTACCCCCCCCCAAATGAAAAATTGATATGTTGACCAATTTTATTTGTGGGAATATCAAGTAAATGGGCCATACAGCAAAGCTGCGAAGTGGGGAAGTTATAGATTTCAGATGTGACCGTACAGCCATTTTAGCTGTAGGGCTGATGAAGTTAAACTGAATGATGCCTCTCAGGAAGTTAATTAGGAGAATGTTAAAAGTGGGCTGGATAGATGGCTCAGCAGCTAAGAGTGCTAGCTGTTCTTCTAGAGGTCCTGGGTTCAATTCCCAGCAACCACATGGTGGCTCACAATGTTCTATAGTAGGATCTGATACCCTCTTCTCACAAAAAGTTGTACATGCAGACAGAGCACTCATATACATAAAATAAATACTTTTTTAAAAAGTTAAAATATGTGGCTACTAAAGCAAGGCTGGCTTAGATGGCTCAGCAAATAAAAGCACTTACACACACACATACATACAGACACACCTTCTTATTTATTTATTTATTTATTTTGGAGACAGGGTTTCTCTGTGTACCTTCAGAGTCTGTCCTGAAATTGGAGTTATAGACCAGGATAGCCTCGAACTCACAGAGAACCCCATACCTTTGCCTCCTGACTACTGGGACTAAAGGAGTGTGCCACCACCACCAGACCCCACACACGCTTTTAAAGAGGCCTAAAATAGTTCATGATTGCCCTGGCCAGCAGGGCAGCAATGAGGGCCTGAACCTCAAAGGACCCGGACACAAAGGACAAGAGACACAAGAAAACTGACAGCAAGATACGCTTCCTGATCAAGCTGCAAAATTTTATGTTTCTCAAGCATGTTATATAGTGGTTAGGGAGGGATGCTAGGTAAGGCAGGGATTCAGAAGGGGGAGGTCGTTGCTTGGTAACCGGACAGCAAGATGTTCTTAGTCACAGGTCACTGAAGGTGAACAGGATATCAGCTAAGGGGAAATGCAGGTAGAGATAAGCAGGTTTTTAGCAGGAGTTGCCAAATACCCTAACTGCATACAGACAGGTTACTAAGTAACCTAACTGCATTCCTGTAAGTCCTAATTTCTATTTATCAGGAAGTTGGGGAGGGGGAGAAGGTAGGTTGGGACTGAAGGTAGCAATCTTCTAATACAATGGGCTATTCTTTAAAAAGGCTGGCAACTTCTAAGGCGTATGCCACTATTGCTCCTGGCGCATGATCATTTGGCTCTTGGCTACATTTTATCTCCCCACAATTCCAAAGTTCTAGTCCATCCAGCAGGATCTTTAAACATCAGTTCACACCATCGCAAGCTTGCATGGCAGACTGCATCGTCCTTTTTAAGACTCAGAAACAATCACTGGGCATTGAGTGCAACAGTCTGTGGAAGGTTTTTCTTGAACAGATTTGCAATTTGGAAAGTTGCCGTCCATTCAGGTTGCACTCAAACCGGTTTTTCCCCCTCCTCAAACCCCAGAACAATTTGTAGCCAGGAGCTCTACTTTGTCAAGTGGCAACTGCAGTCCAGACTTACACAGTCTTTTCCCTCAGCCAACAATTTCTCTATGTAGATAACCCAGTTTTTTACAGAAGGACATGGGATTCAACCCCTAGTTGTTTCCAAGAAGACTCCAATTTTCCTAGTGTTTCCATTTCGTTTGTTTTGTTAGCCACTGTCCAGGTTATATGGGACTCTGGTCACACCTTCCTATTAGCTGCCATTGAGTGAAATGTCTCAACAGTGCTGCCTAAGGTTTCCCTTCCTCCCACAGTTCAAGTTAGCTGTCTTCATGCGCTTTGACACTTTCAAAAAGTCTTTAAAGAAAGCTCTGACATTCTGAACAGTGATCATAGTATATGCCCAATCGAAAAAGTCACCCACTTAAGATTTTACTTGTAGTCCTTCATTAAATTAACAAATGGAGGCCTCCTGAGTTGGTGGCGGGGTGGTCATACCCCTCAGCGATGGGTTCCACCTGGGTCACACCCACGAACGGGCCATGAGGAGTGATCTCCGGCAGTACCTGCGGCCTCAGAGATACCTGAGTCTCCCTGGGGAATACTTAAAGGCACTAGTGCCGAGGCGCACTCAACTTTCCCGCCCTCGGGAAGGCTTTAGAGACTGCACGCCCGCAGGCCGCCCGACTCACGCCGGCGATCTGCGATCCCGAGCCACGGAAACGTGAGTCCGCCCCGCTGACGTCATCTCCCCGCCCCCTCGGCTCGCGCTTCCTTTCCCGCCCCGCCCCCTTTCCCGGCGTTCGCCGCGGCCGAGGCTCCTCGCCCTCCGATTTTGCTTCTCCTCTCAAGATGGCGGACACAATGAGCCGGCGCATCGCCGGTTGGCCCTGAAGTGACTCTGGGGAAGAACGGTCAGTGAGGTCCCATCACCCCGACGACGAGAGAGCCTTGCCCGAAGAGGACGGCGCGGCGGCCCGACTGTCAGACGCCCTCCCGGGAGCCGCCAGCGCGGCGCCCGCACCGCTGGGGTTGGCCCTGAGCAGCCCGCCCGCTCGCTCGCCTCTCGGCCCCGCCCCGGCCCTGCGCCGCCGCGGCTGCCTTCAGCCGCCGCCGCCGCCATGAAGCTGACCGACAGCGTGCTGAGGAGCTTCCGCGTCGCCAAGGTGTTCCGCGAGAACTCGGACAAAATCAACTGCTTTGACTTCAGCCCCAATGGGGAGACGGTCATCTCCAGCAGCGACGACGACTCCATCGTGCTCTATGACTGCCAGGAGGGCAAGTGAGTGTGGCGGTGGCGGCGGGCCGGGTTCCAAGTGCCTCCCTCCTTCCTTCTGCCGCTGGTCCCCGGCTGAGGCCCCCCAGCCTGCGGTGCACCCCGCCTCCATCCTGCAGTGGTGCAGGAGCTCTCTCCTTTCTCCGTCTGTGGGGTCGTGGAGGTCGTAGTAATGCTAGCGTTGTTATTTCTTGTGTCTTTGGTCTCTTCCGAGCGCGCTTCTCGGTCGCTTTCCAAACCCCACCTTGACCTTGACCTTTAAACGCCATGTCCCTGCACCCGGCGGCCAGACGAATAGCCCTTTCCGCTCCTGACTGTCAGGAGGCGCGGGTCGGTTCTGAGCGCGGTGCAGATCCCTAGGAGCTGTTCTGCCCATCAGCGGCGTCAGCTCTCTGCCCTCACCGCGGTGACCTGGATTCAGCCCTGGCACCGCGCCCGTCCCCTGCCCCTCAGCTTCCCGCGCAGCCTTTCTGCCATCGAGCCCCGTGAAATGCAGTTTTTAGCTGTCAGGATTTATCGATTGTGCCTATGTGAGCCTGCCGCCCTTCCCCTGTGCGGATACCCACGCTTGCAGTTAACTTGTTAAAGCCTCCCGGAAACTTTTCTTTGCCAGACTCAGGCGAACTTGGTCGCCCCATTCTGGTCAGAATGTGACCGCCCTTTAAAACAAAGAAAGCATTCTGGAACAATTTAGTGTTTCCTTTTGCATTACAAAAAAAAAAAAAAAAGTTTACCAGAGTGTGGAGGCCCAGCCGGCAATCTCAGCATTGGGGCGACAGAGGCAGGCGGATTCCTAGTTCTGAACTTCATAGGCGAGACTCAGAACGGTCAAAAAAACCCGCCAGTGTATAGTTTGCTTGGAATTAACAAAATTCTGAATCTGTTTATGGGAGTTACGTGTTAGTTGGAGAACTGCTAAAGTTGTGTATCTTTGCTGAGCAGATACCTTGTTCATAGCCTTAGTGGGGGGAAACGTTGCCTGCCTGGCTTCACCCCTGTAAGTCCAAGTCCTTTGTAGCAGAAACTAGTGTAGGCTAAATTTGATTTCCCTTGTCAACTTCAGCCGCCTTTCCTAAGTGGGAGATGTTTGGTTTAGTTTAATAGCTACTGTTTTTGACATTTTGTTAAAGTTACCTATGATTTTGAAGCCTTAGCTTTTTTTTTTTTTTTTCTTACTCCATTTTGTTTCATTTTTTAAAGTAACAGACAGTTTTCTTTTGGAACTTGCCCCTCTGCATTTTTTTAAAGTAAGGCTGTGTTGTAGGCTGAACTGCATATGTTTTTCTTGACTGCTTTCCTCACTGGGGCTATATATAATAAAGTATTATGTAACTATCTCTGGACCTGCCTGCTGTGTGTGGAAGAGTTCCCTACAGTGGTAATCCTGAGGAAGATAGAATAACACATAGTTGTTTGAATTGATGTTCATTTTAGTGTATTGGTTTTTCTCCTGCTCTGACCATTTGATGTTGTTTGGAAGAACTGGTAGGATTTAAAATTGGGAACTAGAAGTAATTTGAAGTTGATTTGCTTGAAATGTTCAGTGCAGTACATGTATGAGAATCTTGCCCCCAAAAGCTGAAGTGGAAATGTGTATCCCTTATTCAAAGGAATAAAATGCTAAGGCTGTAATTCATGCATAAAACCTTTCTACATGATTACAGACTTAATAGAAAGTTAGAATGTTCCAAAGAACTTTCTTGAAGAAAAATAGCATTCTTGCTCAGCAGTGCCTGTCAGTCTTGCATTGGGGTGGGAGACTGGTGGTGGGAATATTGGAATGCAGCTTGAACTTCAAAGTAAGACCTTGTCTCAAAAAAAGAAAATATAGGAGCTGGAGAGATAAGAGTATATATACTTGCTGCTCTTACAGAGGATCTGGGGTCAGTTCCCAGCACCAGCATGGAGGCTCACAATCATCTGTGTAACCCCTACTTCTGACTTGCCTGATGTCAGAAACACAATTGATACACAGACATACTTACAGACAAACACCTATACACATAAAAATAATTTTTAAAGTTGTTTTAAAAGGAAATTTGTTTGAAAAAAAGGTTTCCTGGAACTGAAGAGATGCCCCAGGGTTAAGAGTATATGCTAATCTTACAGTTCAGTGCCAGAACTGATTCAGGCTCAAAACTACATTTAACTCCAGTTCAGAGAAGCTGATGCTCTTCTGGCCTCCATGGGCATTAGACATGCAGAGGGTGCACATATATAGATTTAGGCAACACACTCATATACATGAAATAAAATCAGTAAATCTAAAATCAAATAATCGGAACTCAGTATGAACCATAGTGCTGGCTGGCTTCAAACATCAATTCTCCTCCCTTACCCTCCCATGTGCTAGGATTACAAGTGTGAGCCAACAATGTTTGGTTTAAGAAAATATCTTCCTTTTTACATTTTTCTTTTTTATCAAAAATAGTTTTTTCATACATTATTTCTTTTTGTACATTTTTATTCTGTGTGAGCTTGCTATACATGCATAAGCCAGAGGACAACTTGCAGGATTTGGTGCTTTCCTTCCCTCATGTGAGTCCTGGGGATTGAACTCAAGTTATTGAGCTTGATGGCAATTGCCTTTAGCCTCTAAACCATCTCATTAGCCCAAAAAGAGGTTTTGAGGATTTTGTTTGTTTGTTTTTGTCCACTTAAACATCATAATGCAGTTCATCCCTTGAGTTGTATTTCAACTTGAAAAAATATAGGGGAATACTGAAAAAATATAGGGGAATACTGCCTATGGTTGGCAATACAAAGAACCCAAAAACATTCTAATCTTTCAATTTTTTCCTCTTTAAAAATATGTGCATGCATATGCATATATACATATATACATTGTTTGCCTTCTTAAGACAATGGTTTCATGTAACCTGGGCTACCCTCCAATTCTAGGTATCCAAGGCTGACCTTAAACTCCTGATCCTTCTCCCTCTTCCTTCCAAGTGCTTGATTATAGATGTGCACCACCCAATCCCCCACACCAATTGGCTTTACTGTTAATTTCTCTGTCCATGCTTTGCCTCCAGAATTATAGTTTTAAAGGAGCTTGCCAAAATACCTGAAAAAAAAACGTGCATGTTTAAAAACACTTACAATGGTAAAACACAAGGCTCGATCTTTCGAAGTAGAACTGAAATAAAGAAATAGATTTTTTTATTGGGAACAAATCTCAGTGTTTTTTACATTTAAGACATACAGGCCCATATCTTGGTAGAACCAAGCCTTTTTATGCCACAAGCTTTACTGCTGTTTGTTTGTTTGTTTGTTTGTTTTGGGTTTTTCGTTGGTTTGTTTACTTGCAGTGTTGAAGATAGAATCCAGGGCCCCATGCACGCTGTCACGTTCTCTGTGACTGAGCCATATCCCTAGCCCTGTTTTCTGTATTAGATGTGCTGAAATACTAGGATTTACTTTTACCATTGATGGACGCAGAGTCATCAACCTTTAGTGTAGGCACATGTTCTTCCTCAATCATTAGTTATCAAACACTAACTACTGAGCAGACCTCAAGACAGTAGATTGTATCTGGTAGTGTTTTATTTTACTCAAGGCAAACTAGAGAAAGTATAGTAAAATTTCAAGAACTCTTGTTTGGAATAGGTTTCATGAAGAAGGCCTCACCCTCACTGACTAACAATTGATAATGCACATGATTGACTTGTAGGCAGCCTGGAGCATTTGATAATTTTACATTGAAAAGGTAACATTCTTTTGCATAAATTCAGACTCTGGGTGTTTGATTTCTTTTTCCTTTTTTGTTTTTGAGACAGGTCTCAATTTGTTGTTGAAACTGGCTTTGACTTTGTAGTGATCCTCCTGCTGCAGCCATTCAAATTCTGGCTGGAAATACAGATGTGAACCACCATGTCTGGTTTAAAATTCTTCTAGACATAAATATAAAACATGTTAAAGGTTTTCATACTTATATGACCTGGTTCATGTGGAGAATTCTTGCATTCATTTTGTTTTCTAGAGGTATTTGGGTTTTAAAAATTTTCTAATTTAAGCAGCATGTGACAAAAGTTTTGGTTATAGTTATTCTGAAATTTTTTAAATTTTATTTTATGTATGAGTGATCTAACTGCATGTATGCATTTATGCCAGAAGATAGCATTGGATCCCCCCAGAGATCTGTAGTTGCTTGGAACTGAACTTAGGACCTCTAGAAGAGCACGCAGTGCTCTTAACCACTAAGCCATTTCTCCAGCCCCCTAACTTCCCTTTTGTTTGGTCATCAAGGTTTGCATTTAAGGGATGTTAACACATAGTTTGGAACTTTGGTGTTCAGGACACATACTTTTACATTAAAGTAAAAGAAAAAGGAACCATTGACTAATTTTGCTGGGGAGAGTTAGGTTCCCCTGTTTTCTGAAAGGCTCAGCCTATACTTTGTACCTCTAGATAGGAAAGTTACACATCTTCAAGAGCAAGTTATATTAGGAACATAGCAGTATTACATCTAGTTTCAATTTTGATAAATCATTGCCTTTATAAAGTGCTTTCTGCCATGCAGTGATGGCGCACACTTTTATTAGTCCCAGTACCAGGCAGGCAGAGGCAGGCGATCTCTTGAGTTCGAGGCCAGCCTGGTCTACAAAGAGTGTTCAGGACAGTCCACGGCTGTCCTGAACACAGAGAAACCCTGTTTCAAAAAACCACAAAGAGAAAGTGCTTTCTAAATAAATGAATGGCTTAGGAAAAGTTACTGGCTTTCAGGTACTCTCGTATCTCTCTGTTATAAGTCATGGTTTGTGGTATTTCTTGTAGCTTTTTCTTAAATAGTCTTCTTAAAGAGTTTACATTTGAAGCCAGGTGTGATGGCCCACTCTTGTAATTTTAGCACTGGAGAAGAAGCCCAGGCAGAAGGATCATGAGTTCAAGACCATCCTCAGCTACCTAGTGACTTGGGAGTCATGTGAGGTCCTGCCTCAGCCCTCTACCCCCTCCTTTTCTTTTGAATATCATGTGGTAAAAGATTAAATTAATACTCGATATCTACTTTCTAGTCTGGGCCTTGTGTTCATAAGTGAAAGACTATTCCTGAGAAGCTGTTACAGTTGATTTTTATTTCCAAGAGATGGGTTGTGGAGGCTAAAGAGGTGGCTCGGTGGTTAAGAGTGTCTACACTTAAAGATGATACCAGTTGAGTCTATTAATAATTCTTGCCCTTGGCATATCACTCAAGTGTTGCTATTTATGTGGAAAGCTCTAGTGTTTGTGGTGTTGTATTCTGATGGCTTTTGTTTTTCCCTGTTTGCTCATCAGACCAAAGAGAACCCTGTACAGTAAGAAATATGGTGTGGACCTCATCAGATACACTCATGCAGCAAATACGGTCGTTTACAGCTCTAACAAAATAGACGGTAAGCAAGCCTTTTAGGAGGTCGTGGTCATGGTTCCTTTGAAATACCTAACAGAATTTTTGGGAGGATTTGTGCTTTTATTATAGTTGGTTTAAATATTTTCCTATAATGGTAGCAGTGCATCATTAAAAATGAAAGAATGCTGGAAGCAAGCCACTAGTACTTTGGAAGGACTTGGAACAGAATATGAAAAAATGTCTACTTTACAATGAGGAGTAGGAAAAGGAAGTAACTAATTATGTTTATGATTTGCAGTCCTTGAACTTGAAAGAATACTTAGAAAAAAAAAACGAAAGTAAGAAATCCTTGACACAGCAATATGTACGTGGGTCAAATCAGGTGTGGCACTTTACCTCTATTCCCAGCACGTGGTGGTTGGAGGAATGGAAGTACCAGGTTAGCCTGGGCTACATAGTGAATGAAACCTTATCTTCAGAAACTAAAAAGACAGGTGATTGGTATAAAGATAACCTTTACATTTCTGACTGAGGGAAAATAAAGCAGAGTTTGTAAGTACATTAAAAGCAGACTGAAAAGGAAACTAAGTACAGATTAAGAATGCTAGAAACAGCCAGTCGGTGGTGGCACACACCTTAAATCTTATCACTCAGGAGGCAGATCACTATGAGTTTGAGGCTAGCCTGGTGTATTAAAAGAGTTCCAGGACATCGAGGACTGTTATGCAGAGAAACTCTGTGTGTGTGTTGGGGGGGGAGGGGGGCTAGAATCATCCCAGTACTCAGGGTTTGAGTCCTATCTGAATGGTTTAGCATTTGTAGCTATACCCTGTTTTAACAACAACAAATAAAAATGCTTACAAATGACTCAGCTGTGCTAGTTTAGGGAATACTAAAGGAGCTTAGCTCTTCTGTAGTCTGTGTCACCAAGAACAGTGCAATGATCTTTGTGGTTTTTGATTCCAGGAATACATTCTGTTTCAAAGATTTTCTTTCTTTAAGAAATTGACACTTTCTTTTGGTAAATAGTTTCTACTTTTGACTGATTTCCCCTGGAATAAGTTCCTAAATTGACAAACTGTCTTAGTGATTGGACTGTCACACACTTGTTATTTTATATTATTTTAGCCTTAGTGGTACTGGTTTTCTGATTTGCTTTTTGCAGTAAGAGATTTCTTACAGAGGTAGTATCACTGTAATTACGGTTGCCCTTGATCACATGATATTCCTGCTTCATAATCTTGAGTATTGAGATTATAGGTGTGTGCCACTATGGCAGGCGCAGTTAGATTTATTTTTATTTATATGTATGTGTGTATCTCTGTGTGGGTATGTGCCGATGCCCTTGAGCCAGAAGAGGACATCAGGTCTCCTGGAGCTGGAGTTGCAGGCATTTGTGAGCCATGTGCTAGGAATCACATTCAGGTCTTCTGGAAGAACATCGAGCACCATCAATCACTGAGCCATCATCTCTCTGGCATCTAGATTTTTCTCTCTTCTTAAGAATTATTTTTTGATCATGTGTGTATGTGTGTGGAGGTATTATATGCATGTGTGAATGCAGGGGCCCACAGAGTCCAGAAGGTGCCAGATCCTTCAGTTACAGGAATTACAGGTTATTATAAACTGTCTAACATGGGTACTGGGGTACTAAGCTCAAGTCCTCTGCAAGTGTAGTACGTGCTGTTGATCACAGAGTAATTTCTTCGGCCTCCATCCCTATTTTGAGACAGGCTCTCACTATGTAGCCCTGGCTAGCCTGGTACTCTGTATATAGACCAGGTTGGCCTTAAAGGAATCCTCCTCAGTGCTGGGACTAACGGCAAGCACCATCCTGCCCCACCATTCAGCAAGGATTACTTAAATTGCTATTTTAATCTGTTCAAAGTAAATGGGCAGAAGTCTCTCTTTATTGAAACTTCTTTCTACCTTAACTTGATTTTAATACATACCTAATTTCTATTTTTTTGTTCCTGTTTCAGAAGTAGTTTTCTAAGTAGGCAATGCCATTGATGCTCTTGGATAAGAATAAATACTAGGAACCTGGGGGTATATATACAATATCTAAATGATTGGTGTATTTCTTTTGTTGGGCTGCTTTTCTGAGTGATTCAGTGATTCTCCAGATACATGGTACAAGATGAGGCAGGGGTGTGGCGCTTGCAGCTTTGCTGCCAGCCTCTGCTGTGGGGATGTTGCCTTTCTTGCTTCCAGTGCGTCCTGCAGAGTTCTTCCAGTGCTCCATTCTCTTTTGCCTGATTCCAGGCTGAGGTAGTAGTTTGTACAGTTTGAGGGTCTATGATACCACCCGGTACAGGAGATAACTGTACAGGCCACTGCCTTGCCAGGAACAGTGCACCAGCTACCAAGTGGGGTGGAGAAGATGGCGAAGCCCTGCTCATCTCTGGGAGTCCAGGTAATGGGGAAGGGATTTCTCTTTAGGGCAGGTGAGTAGTTGCTAACACTAGAATAACCAGCAATGAGAGGCTTGGAGTTGTTCAAATAAACCATGTAGAATTCTGTTATAGATTGTATAGAAAGGGTTCCTTTTCCTCCTTCTTTGGATAAATGCCCTTTCATTATAAAGCAATCCTGCAAGCCAACTAACTGTGTTGCCCACACCAATAACCCCAGCATTTGGAAGACTGAGGCTGGAGAATTGCTGCTAACTTTGAAGCTAGCCTGGGCTATATAATAGTTTCCAAGTTAGCATTGACTATAGAGTAATAGCCTGACCCCACCCCCAAAATTAAGCCCCTTGATACTTTCTTTTTATTCTTTTTGTTTGTCTTTGTTTTGGTTCCCCCCCCCCCAGGACCTCTACCACTGAGCTAAATCCCCAATCCCTTTGTTTCATTTTTTTGAGACAGGGTTTCTCTTTGTAAAAGCACTGGCTGTCCTGGAACTCACTTTGTAGACTAGTCTGGCCTGGAACTCAGATTCACCAGCCTATGCCTCTTTCCACCCTACACCCCCCCCCCCAACCTCAAGTATGTGCCCAGTTTGGACTGATTATCTTGTATTTGCCTTAATAATGTGTTGTCCCTCCTGTGTTTTTGGTGCCATGGTTTTTCTGAACAACAATTGTTTCTCTTCCTTTTGTTTTTTTGTTTTTGTTTCCATTGATGTTTCATTTTGGTTATTGAGACAGGGCTTCACTAAATGTACACCATGCTATTCTCTATTTTGGGGGAGGGGGATTACAGGTCGCCTTGTCCAGTTTTCCTCTTCATTGTTTTAGGAGCATAGTAATTTCTTTCTAGTTCTAGTAAGGGCCTCGCCATACTACGCAAGTACTATACATTGAGCTGCATACTCAACCTCACTTCATTCCACTGTCAACATAATCTTTTTATCCTTTTTTTTTTTTTTTTTTTTTTTCTTTTTTTTTTCTTTTTTTCTTTTTAATGGTTTACTTTCATGTATTTCTAGGTATAGTGTATGTGTCTGATGCCCAGGGAGATTAGAATAAGATGTCAGATCATCTAGAATTGGAATTACAGACAGTTGGGATCCACCATGTGGGTTCTGGGAATGGAAGCCTAGACCCTACTATTTACTTTTATAGATAGACTTCTTTGACTTTCCTCTCTTAATTTTTCTTTGACAGATCAGGTTTTATAATAGCCCTGACTATTCTCAAACTCACTATATAGCCCTTTATTTTGTGGTCCTAATACTCAGTGTAAGATTTGTCACTTTGCAGACAATAAAATTTGTGTCTATAGTTAGTGATTTTTTTTTTTTTTTCCTTGCTGGAAATACTTAGGACAAGTTGAATTTTAAATTATGAAGAATCCAAAGATTGGTAACAAACAGTGATTTTTTTTTTTTTTTTTTTTAATATAGTTTTTAGTCTGAGTCCTCCATCACCCCAATACTGCAGATTGAACTCTGAGATTCCTATACACTAGGCAAGCACACCACCATTGAATTGTACTTCTGGGCCCCAAACAGTGATGTTAAATGTTGGTATAAATGCTGCCAACTGAAAACTTGGCTTTTGAGTTGTATGAATCTATATGTGTACTCAAGTTGTTGACTTTTCGTGTTTGTAATTTGCTTAGGTGATAGTAAACAGTAGGTTCTTGGGGTTTATCTTTTGAAAAATGAAAATCCAACAGATTTCATTTGAATAGTAAAATGTCATCCCTTGTTTATTTTCTTACAGATACTATCCGTTACTTGTCATTGCATGACAACAAATATATCAGATATTTTCCTGGACACAGCAAAAGGTAAGACTCAAGTATTACAGAGTTATGCTTTCTTTTTCCCTGAGAGAAGGGAGAGGATTGGTTAATAAATCCATCCTCTTCATCTTGTTAACTGATCTCAGTCAGCTCTTAGTTTACCAAGGTTATGGATGCAGAAGATGGGGTTTCAGATAACTACATAATCTTTGTTAATTTAAGGAGCCAGGCAATTGTGGCACACACCTTTAATCCCATCACTCATCAAGAGGCAGAGTGATCTCTGAGTTTGAGGACTACCTGGTCTACACAGGTTTTTTTTTTTTTTTTTTTTTTTTTTTAATTATTTTATTTCCTGTACATTGGTGTTTTGTTTGAATGTATGTATGAGGTGTCATGTCCCCTGGAACCGAAGTTACAGACAGTTGTGAGCTCCATCTGAGTGCTGAGAATTGAATCCAGGTCCTTTGGAAGAGCAGTCAGTGCTTGTACCCGCTGAGCCATCTCTCCAGACCCCCAGAGGGGGACAAGTAAAGAGCTTGGAGTATAATTCAGTGGCTAAGCACATGCTTAGCATGTGGGTGGCTCTAGATGTAAGTCTTCATACCAAAAATAAGTAAATATAATTAAGAGGGGTTAGATGTAGCTCAGTGAGCATGCGTGCCGTAACAAGAATCCGTGGGGGGGGGGGGAGACAGAGAGAGAGAAACATAGATTGAAGTTATTAGGTGATAACCTGTGCCTTAAAATTAGACTTGGTATTTAGCAAAGCCAAATCTCAGCTCTTAACAAAAGTAACTTCGAATTTATGAGGCCTTACACCACAGAGGCTAACATTTGAATTAGCCTCTGCATGGGAAATGTTCCATATGATGTAGAAGGGGTTTTTTGTTTTGTTTTTTAAGATTTATTTATTTTATGTATATGGGAGTTGTGTCTACATATATGTCTGCATACCAGAAGAGGGCATCATATCCCATGGGACTATAGTTTAAGGTGGTTATTCACTGCCATATGAGTGCTGGGAATTGATTGAACCCAGGACCTCTAGAAAGTGCAGCCAATGTTCTTAACCACTGAGCCATTTCTCCATGGCACCATTTGTGGATGGACTTTTATTTTTGTTCTGCCTGCCAGCTCCCAAATAACCACACAGACTTCTTATAAAAGCTTGGCCAATGGCTTAGGTTTGTTGCTAACTAGCTGTTACAACTTAAATCAACTCATTTTTATCAATATACTTTTTGTCTCATTGCTTTATTGCCTTTATACTGCCCATGCTGCTTCTGCTCTGTCTGTCTGGTGACTCTTCCCTTCTTCCCAGCATTCTCTCTGCCCCAAAAATCCTGCCTAGCTATTGGCCATTTAAGCTTTTTATTAATCCAATCCGAGTGACACTTCTTCCAGTGTACAAAGAGATTATTCCACAACACTCCTACACTTTTCTTTTTGGGGGGATGAGAGGAAGCCTCCCTATGGCCTATGGCCTTGGCTGTCTTAGAGCTCATTGTCTAGACCAGGTTGGCCTCAAACTCAGAGATATGTCTGTGCCTCCCAAATGCTGGCACTAAAGGCATTTATATTAATATAGATGACATAGAGTGGTAGTATAATGCCCTGACTACTATTATGTCACTTTTGCTGAGAGGTAAAAAAAGATATCAGAACAGGTACTAACAATAGGGCAAAGAAATGATTCCGCCCAAGTGTTAACTTTGTGAATCAGTAAGTTTAATTCTGGTTGCTGACAGGAGCATGGGCAACTTAAAATGAAAGCTATACCCATCTCCCTCCTCTCCCAGGTAATTGTTAACTCCTATTGTGTCCATGGAAGGACTTAGGGTCTTCTGAGGGTTCCACAATAGCAGTCACAGCTGCTCTGATTTCAAGAGGGCCATGTTATACCTGAAGGATGACAGGAGAGATGGCTGGCAGCTGGCTCCCTGTTAGAAGTGGTACTTCTCTGTCAGGTGTAGTAGGGTCATGCACCTTTAATCCCAGCACTCAGAAGGCAGAGGCAAAGGATCTCTGTGAGTTCCAGGACAGCCTGGTGCTGTACATAGCAAGCTCTAAGACAACCAGGACTATATAGAGAGACCCTATCTCAAAAAGGAAAAAAAATGTGCTTCTAGCTGAACATGGTGGTATGTACTTATAATTCTAGTGCTGTGGAGGCTGAAGCAGGAGGATTGTTACAAATTGGAGGGCAACTTTGGATACATAGTAAATTAAAGGTCATCCTGGGATACATAATAATGCTTTGTCTCAAACTCCTTCCCTCTCCCCAAAAATTTTTTTGATAAAGAAGTTGCACTTTAAAACAGGCAGGGTATTTCTGTGCTGCTGAAGACAGGAAGTGTTAGTTACTGTATAATGCCAAAGGATGGCATTCACTTTTGCTCTAGATCTTTGAGCCCTATGAACTGGCAGGTAAGTTTCCCTTGAGCCAAACTTTTGGTTCTTCATATGTTCCCCATGCTTATCAGCACAGAGCCTTTTGTATCAACCTAGACCTTCTGTGAACTTTTGAGCTAGACAGTGACAAAATTGCATGTCTAGCATATGAATTCTGCTCTCTTATATTACTATGGCAATCTGGGCTACATGAAACCCTATCTCAAAATAAGAAACCATTTAGTGATTGTATGTATTGTATCATTGCTACTATAATTACAGAATACTTTCCTCTCCCTAAGAGGAACTCTGTACCCATTAGTAGCCGTTCATCTAAGTACTGTCCCTAGATTTGCATATAGTGGACATTTGTATAAAGTCTGTCCTTGTTGTCATAGAATTAGTACTTGGTTTCTTTTTATTCTCCAGTGATGTTGTCATGTTATATGCCTCGTCCACCATTTTGTTTGTTAATTATTGAGCATTTGGGTTATTCCCATTCATAATGCTACTGTAGACATTTTCATTTACTAAAGTATATATACCTAGGAGTGGAATTTCTGAATTACCTGTCTTTCCAGAAAAAGTATGAGTGGGTGGGGTGGGTGGGTTGGTTGGTTGGTTTTTTGTTTGTTTGTTTGTTTGTTTTTTTTAATGATCAGGCTTGGAACTAGCTTGGAATTCACTATATAAACCAGACTGGTATTGAGCTCTGGGTTCTACCTACCTCTTTCTACCTCCCAAGTGCCACCATACCTGGCCTGGAAAGGGCTTTTGTGGAGCATCTGTACTGCACATTTCATCAGTTGTGTATGCAGGGTTCTAATTCTCCACCATGCTCCTCTTCACCAGTACTGAGCAGCCCTTTTATGACGGCCATTCGTGGTATGAACTATGTCTCGCTGTGCTTTTGATTTTTCAGTAGTATCACGTATTGTGTTTTTAACACTACCACTGAACTGTGTAGAGCTCCAGCCTGAGACCATGCATTTTGATATATGTAAGTGTATATATACACATGTAAACTTACATACATATACATAGAGGGGGGCTTTAGGTTGAGTTTTGTTTGTTGTTTGTTTGTTTGTTTGTTTTTTATTAGCTGCTTCTGATTGCTTCAGATAAGTTTGTGTTTGCTTTCTAAGATGGTAGTCTTGGAAAAACAGGTATTTGTAGGCAAGCAGAGTGGTTTAGGGTTCACATCCAATTTTTGCTCATATTTTGCTTCAACTCCTTTTTATCTTGATACATTGCAGGGTGGTGGCCTTGTCCATGTCACCTGTGGATGACACTTTCATTTCTGGGTCTCTTGATAAGACCATTCGACTCTGGGATCTCCGGTCTCCTAACTGCCAGGTAATGGTACCTCACAGTTAACATTTTTTGAGCATTTTCTATGGAAAGCATTATCAGCTCTCCCTCTCGGTTAAGGGAGACAACAGTGGTTCCATTTTGGGATCCCAGAGTCTTCTTATGTGGCAACAAAGTCTTTTATCAGTTGGCTACTACTGAGCAGATTGCATTATAATGTGGCTTAGTGCTTGAAAAAACTGCCTAGAACTTTGAGCCTCAAGGGGTTTGTTTTTCTTTGAACTCTATAATATTGTACAGTTAAGGCTGATTGGAAATGCATCATACAGTGACATTTTACATTTTACATTTTAGTCAGTTTTGTTTGTTAACTTTTAATGTTTTTTAGGTAGGCCAGATACAGATCCTATTCCTTCCTTAGTTTTCCCTGGAAAAAGTCAGTGATTGAGTGGTGGGCTTCTTCATTCATTAACTCCTTGTCATCTTTTCTCTTAGGGCCTCATGCATCTACAGGGCAAACCAGTTTGTTCCTTTGATCCAGAAGGGTTAATTTTTGCTGCAGGTGTCAACTCAGAAATGGTCAAACTTTATGACCTTCGTTCTTTTGATAAGGTAAATCTTTGAATCCTTGAGCTATGTTAAGGTTGCAGAGATTTTAATGGCAAGTTGGATATTTGAGAACCCTTTCTAGGCCAGGCATGGTAGTCTTTAATTCCAATGCTATACTCTGAAGCAGATGCAGGTGGATCTCTATGAGGCCAAGCTGGTCTACATAGTGAGACCCTGTCTAAAATGACAGCCTTTCTGTGGTGAAGGAGGCAAGTGGTGGGTAAGAGGGTGACAGAGCAGTGCTTCACCCTGTGCTTGCCACTTACAAAGAGTCTAAATGGATGGAGAAGAAGTTCTAATGGAGGAAGTATTGATGCTCATGGAGCCTGGGGACTGATATTTCTGTGATTTTCAGGGACCATTTGCAACCTTTAAGATGCAGTATGATCGGACTTGTGAGTGGACAGGACTTAAGTTCAGCAATGATGGCAAACTCATACTCATTTCCACCAACGGCAGCTTCATTCGTCTTATTGATGCATTCAAGGGTGTGGTGATGCACACATTTGGGGTGAGCTGACAGCTTTCAAGTATGGCTGTTTCCTTACTCATAAGTTCTGGGCTGGGAATGCTGTTAGCTGCATTATGGAGATCAGTGGTTATCCTTGACTCATCATGGGCTAATGAACGTTAGCTCTTCTGTGTTGGAGTCATTCGTCTCTGAACAAAGTTTCCCAAGCTTGCTTTTCAAGTATAATTATTCATAACAATAAACATGGTTTTTGTTTTTTTTTTTTTTTTTTTTTTTTGTCCCTCCCCACTAAATGTGGAGTTAGGGTTGAAATTGCTTTACATGAGGTAGCAGCTACATTTGGTCTCTTAGTGTCACTGCACATTCAAAGCTCTCTGGTGGGAAGGGCTTGTGTGTTGGGTTGATGTTTCTAAGGGGTTGATCTCATTATTGGCCCTATAATGAGAACCATTCTGTTTTGTTTCAGGGTTATGCTAACAGCAAAGCTGTTACACTCGAGGCTTCATTTACTCCAGATTCACAATTTATTATGATTGGTGAGCTGCTTTCGTTTTCCTTGTTATTTCTCTAGTACTGTGCATTTGTTTATGTTATCAAGCAAAGTTACTAAAATGCTGTTCATTAGATGTCTTGAGACTTTTGTATAGCACCTTCAGACTTGAGTTTCCTTTACTGTGTACAGAAGCATACACGCAGTGCCGTGTGTGGAGGTCAGAGTCAGTTTTCTTGTTCCACCATTTGAGTTCCATAGATCACTTTCCACAGACTCATTATATCAGACTTCCTGGCAGGCCACCTTTACCTTCTGAGCCATCTCAATGGCTTTGTTTGTTTGTTCTTTTTTTTTTTTTTTTTTTTTTTTTTGCCGTGGTGGTCTTGTTTATGTATAACCCTTCTGACCTTGAACTTGCAGTGTAGTCAGGGATTGCCTTGGATTTTGATTCTCCATCTTCCAACTGCTGGGATTGCAGGAGTGTGCAATCACACTGGCATGGGTTCTTTATTGGAACTGACAATGTGTTGGTTTTCTCTTTGTGAACTTTAGAATTGAGCTCTTTTAAAAGCATTAGTGTGTTGTATTGATAATTTGCTGTAACTTTCAGTAGTCTCGGTGACCAGATGTTAGCAGGTTACTGGTATTTAGCCTCCTTTCTAGATGGGAAATGTAAACGTATGGGAGGAAATAACTTAAGAATAGGGAAGCACTCTTGCACATCTTCTCATAAATTGCCAGTACTTGGGTGCTGTTACTGGAAGAGACAGAAATTTAGGAGTTTGAGCCTGGCTTGGGCTACATGGAGAATTCAAGACTAATATGAGCTCTGTAACAAAACTAAGTCCCTAAAGAGAAGGGAACAAATAATTAGGTCAAGATCAATTCCTAGTGTCGTTCCTCCATTGTCTTTTCAGTTTCTGCTGAGGGATATGTCCTGAAACTTTTCTAGATCTCAGTCCATCTTTGCTTACCTGTATTTACCTGAAGTGTTATTGTCTCATTATTCTGTTTAGGTTCAGAAGATGGCAAGATCCATGTCTGGAATGGAGAGAGTGGTATAAAAGTAGCTGTATTGGATGGTAAACACACGGGTCCAATTACCTGTTTGCAGTTCAACCCCAAGTTCATGACCTTTGCCAGCGCCTGTTCCAATATGGTATGTGAACAGTGAGAAAGATTTCCCATTAGGATCCTCTTGATTTGGGGTGGTGGGTGCCTCAGACAGCAAGCTGTGCTCCATCCACATAGTACAAGTTCATGTTTCAGAAGTGGTGGCTTTCCTGTTACATGTACATCATGAGATAACTGACTAGGCTAGTCTTTTCACTTTTATTCCTCTTCCAGTAAGACAGGATCGTCTGTGCTCTGCAAAGAGATTTGCAGAGCAGTTTTGCTCTGGCCCTGGGTTTTAGGAACAAGCTATTTGGGTTCTTTTACCATTAATTTATCCCTTAAAATATTCTGACCAACCTTTTTATAAGTGTATTTTTTCAGGAGTTTTGAATTTTGTTTTGTTTTGGTCTGGCTTTTGGAAATGAGGTCTCTTTCACTCTAGCCCAGGCTGACCATGTATCTAGATTAGTCTGCCTGCCTTAGTCTCCTGAATGCTGAGATGAGAAGTGTGAGCCACCCGGCTTCCATTCTTTCCCATTGAATTCCCCAAAAATTCTTCTAGTGGTTCTTAGCTATCCATTTATACACTTAACTTTGTTTTTGTTAATTCCTAATATATTTCATTTTATTTATTTGAGGCAGGGTCTCTATAGACCTAGCTGCCCTAGAACTCTTGTCAACTGGGGTGGCCTTGAACTCAGAGATCCACCTGCCTCTGCCTCCCAAGAGCTGGGATTAAAAGTGTTCACCACTTATATAGTAAGTGTGAGATCACAAAAAAACAAAAAAGCTACCCAGCCCTCAAAGGTAGCAAAACCATCTCATCCAAACCTCCTTTCTATTCTGGAAGGAAAGGGTATGATTGAGGCCACCTTGAGATTAGCTGTGAGGCCAGGTTTCCTGTATATTACTGCTTTTTCCTTAAAACCCTGTACCACTGTGGTGCATGATAGGGAGTAAGTGTCTCTGGCTTCATGGAGACAGTGGTTAGATCAGGAATAAGGGCTACCAGACCATAATTCCTTCACCATTGGGGTTGGCCATCTTGATGCTATGAGGTGGGGGAAGAACTACTTTACATAGTGAGAAGCCTGGCTTTTAAGAAATTTGTGAGCCAGGTGTTGGTGGCACATGCCTTTAATCCTAGCACTTGGGGGGCTGAGGCAGGCGGATCTCTCTGAGTTCAAGGCCAGCCTGCTGTACAGAGTGAGTGCCAAGGCAGGCTCGAAAACAATACAGAGAAACCCTGTCTCACAAAAAACAAAAAAGAAATTTTATTTGTGTTCTACTTCCAGGCCTTCTGGCTGCCCACCATTGATGACTGACCCTGACACTGCTTGGCTATTTGTACAGCGAGGGCGGCCACCAGGAAAAGTCAGGGGTGACTGAGATGACAGTGGGACTGACTGGACTGGAGAACATCTGTCTGTCTACATGGCCTCCCAGGGATGTGCTGCCCATCTTCTCGCTAAAGAATTACTTTGTTGAGCGCCTTCCAAAGGACTCTTGGTGCTGCAGATTCAGTTGGCACTCGGCCTTTCCAGCTCTCACTGCACCAAGCTCTTCAGAGGGTGACTGTTTAGGATTAGGTTACAGTGGGGCCCTTGAGCCTCTTCAATTTTGAATATATTTGCTGCTGAAGAGCCAGTGAAGTCACCAGTTTCTGCACATCCTTCTCCCACCCCAGAAATGCATGGGAAGCCACAGTTCTGGTTTTGAGATGCTAGGGCAGCTCAGCACCCCTTGCCCTCACCCTGCATGTCTTATTACTGGGTCTCCCTGTGTAATTGTGGCATTATTCCACAACCATCATGTTTCTTAGGTGCCAAACATTTACAGAAATAAGTCTTCATATACCTTGGGGTCAAAGAATGAGACAAATACAGAAGGACCTTGCTTGTCAGGAGGCTTTACAGTATTCCTGTGTAGGTGGGTGGGGCAGGTCTCAGGCTTGGATGTTGGCTAGCAAAAGGCCCAAGAGTCTGAAAGGGAGTAGCAGGTAAATTCTGAGAGCTGAAAGGTTTAGCAGCCTGGTGCAATTTCCCCATCAAGACCGTCCCACAGTCTTTTTGTGGGGCTCCTACCGAGCTTGGCTTGTACAAAAGCAAGGTAGTAGTTTATTTTTGTACCTGAGTCACATCACGTTTTCCTGTGGGCCAGTATTGTGGAATGAGTCTGAGTTGTTTACACTGATGCCTTCCTTCCCTGCCCACCACAAATTGTGTACATAGTCAGCAGATGATGCCCCTCTTCCCCAGCTCTTTCCCAAGAGCTGGCTCTAGGCCTGTGTTATATGTTATATTTAGCCTTTTTATATATGACCCTTGATCTGTTTGTATTTGAGCACAGTGTGTGTGTCCACTTAAATACATTTGTGCAACATGCACATAAGTATATGTATATGCCTACTATCTCTCTCATCTAGTTATCAAGAGTTCAGCAGGAGAGGGAACCCTGCCGCTGAGAAAGACTATTTGTGGGTAGTGTTTGCCACAAGTGTTAGTCTTCTCTGTTAACCTTAGGGAGACAACATGAAGCAGAGCTTCTAGTGTTTGCTGTTTTCATGGCAGCTAAGTAAGAGCCTTGAGATGACTCCCTTGTGCTCTTCAATCAAGCCACACTTTGGGGCCCTCTCTACAGTATTAGAATCTTTTTTGCCTGATTATGCTCTGTCTGCATCTGTGTATGTGTGACAGTCACTTTTTGCATGGCTTCTGTGCCTGGCTTGTGGCATTTGGGGACAGGGTGCTAGAACCACAGTATTTTTAGTTTGTCAGAACTTCTCAGCCATTTATGTCGGCATTGTTGCCCCTTCTGCTTTCTCCTGAGAGAAGGCTAGGACCAGGCTGAGAAGACCTGCAGCTGACCTTTTCTTCCCAGTATGGCCACCTCAGAGTAGAACAAATGGTAGTCAAACATTTAAGCAAGCAATACCCCTGCAGATCCAGAAATGAAGACCCAACAGGCTGTGATTTGCCCATGAGTACCCAGCTGCTAGGGTGTCCGTCACCCCATCGCTGCTTCTGTTCTGGAGCAGGTATGGGCTTCAAATCAACTAATGCTATTTATTTTTTTTTAAAGCAACTTTTGGCTTGCTATTCCAACTGTAAAGGTGGCCACTTTCACTGAAGTCTCTAAGTGTTGCTGAGCAGTCCTGCTTTCCCCAAGTGGACAGACTATAGGAACCAGGTGATTAGAGAGATTACTGCCTACCTTCGGAATAAGAGTCCATGTTTGGAGGAACTGTTGAGAGCAAATGTCTTAACTATGGATTGGTAAGGCCACATAACCTGAAAGTAAAGTGGCTTGCCTGGCTGCAGGAAAATTGTCTGCGTTCCTGAGTGTCCAAAGCCCAAGCACCATGCTTTTGGAAGATGTACTGCCTCACAGCCTCTGCTGGGCCCTGTGGCGGCAGAACTGTGTTCTGAATTGGTAGGAAGAGATGCAGCTGAAACTTATGTGAGAGGGAGAAAGCAGAGTTGGCAATATGGGGATGTGTCCCTGGGATGTATTCACCGTCCTCTGAAAAACCAGCCAGAGCCACTGCTCTTTTTGTGACAGCTGACACTGCACTGTTCAACCACCAGCCACTGGGGTACTTTTTAATAAATTACTCCCCGTTGTAACTGACAATTAGTGCTTATGAAGGAAAATTTGGGGATTTCTAAGAACCAGTTTGCCACCCAAATGGTACCACTGTTAATCTTGATGTTGAATGTTCCTTTAGATATCTCTGTGCATAGACTTTGGTGTGTTTACATAGTTGTTATCCTACTGTACATACAATTTTATGTCCCTTTTGTACTTAACATATAAACTTTTTTTTGCCATGTTACCAGTCTTAAACAGAATTTTATGGCTTACGGTCTCTTCCATTTGGTTTCTGTGACATTATTTGCCTGCTTCCACATCGGAAGGGATGCATTGTGCCAGTGTTCTGGCTTAGGTGCCTGCAATCTTGTATGAGCTGTTGGGCTGTGGGTAACAGGAACCTCCTGGGCCCATCTCCTAACCCCAGACTCCAATTAAACTACCACAGGGCAAGTAATGAGCGAATGCAGAAGGTGAACGAGCCTGACTCAGCACTGGTCTTCAGAGACCTTACTGCCTTGCACTGTTCACATCAAACTTCGATCAGATTGGCATCCTAGGGCCCTGGTTGGTGGAAGATGAGCATCGCCTCTGACAGATCAGCTAGCTGCCTGCTGAGCCACCTAATTGGCTAATGCATTGGGAATTGTTACAACTCCAGTACATGCTTTCTGCTTCTCTCACTGAGCCAGAATAGGTTAAAAAAAAAAACCTGGCCTGCCACTTGGGGAAAAAAATGGCTTGGGTTAGTTGACCAGGCTTTCCTGGTCTAAGAGACCCCTCAAAGCCTGATGGGAGTGTCCAACAAAATGGATCAGTAGCTGAAAGTGCTTGCCTTGCAAGCGTGATAACCTGAGTTCAGTCCCTAGATGCCATGGTGAAAGGAGAAGACCCACTTTCTGGAATTTGTCCTTAGATTCCCACATGTCATGGCATGTGCGCACAAAAATCACAAATTAATAGAAGCCTGCTGCAGCTTCTACTCCAGCATACAATAGAGACTTGGTGTGCCCACTCCTTCATAGTGTGTGAACAAGAGGGACAGGCAGTAGGGTGTGGGGCGAGCTGAGCTGGCTCAGCAGTTGGTGAGGGCAAGAGGCAGGCACAGGATGTTGCCTGCACTGTGCTGAGAGGCTGTGGAGGAATGTGCTGAAGAAAGAGGAAGCCAGATTCAGCAGTCTCAAACAGTGACACTCTAGCACCTGTCTGGGGCTTAGTGGGCCAGCTGGGGATCTGTCCATGTGTTAACATGGGAAGTGTAAAATACCAATGTGTTCTGTCCTGTCTTCCCTGGATAATATGCAGGAAATGAGATCTAAGATGAGGAAATGGGATCTGAGCATCCCAGGTGAGTTAGTGGCACAAGCCCTCTGCGGTCTAGAGAGCTCTGTGTTGCCTAATGCCCCCATGGTTGTGTTAGGAGTGAATCAAATAAAGTTCATGTAATAAACTGTATTTCAACACCTACTTCTGGACCTCAGTAAGTTCTAGATGGCAACAGAGGTTTTGGTTTGATTTTTCTCTTTCGAGACAGGGTTTCTCTGTATAGCCCTGGATGTCCTAGAAGTAACTATAGACCAAGCTGGCCTGAAATTCAAGAGATCTGCCAACCATTGCCCTAAGTGCTGGGATGAAAGATGGGCTGGCAAGTCTTAAAGGGAAGATGAAAAATGAAGTTTCATCAAGCAGCCTATCTGAAGCTTGTACTAACTCAAAATGTACAGCACTAGGTCACCCAGGAGTAAGTGAGGCGTCCGGTAGTGGTCCACACCTGTAATTCTCAGTTTTTAGGCTGAGGCCAACTTAAGCTATGTAAGTTTCAGACCAGGCTAGCCCACACCGTGACAAACCGGTCACTCTAGTGGCAGAAGCCAAAGGATCACAAAGTTGAGGCCACAATACAGTTTCAGAACTGCCAAGGCTACATGATGAAACTCTTGCAAAATGATTTTTAAAAAGTGGAGAGGGAACCCTAAAATGCAGGGAATGAAAAGACCTTTAATAAGTCTTCTCATTCCCTAGCAGCAATGAGGAGCAGAGCATTGGAAACAGTCTTGATTCTGTGTCAGCTTGCGTGGTGGAACCACTAAGAGGCCACAAGAAGTGGCAAAATGTGTCAACCAAGGCTGTGTGAGCAATTCATGATTCCCAAGGACTCTTATATACAATCATTTAATACCAGAGGCTGGCTGAGACCCTGCAGGGAAAGCTGTATGTGGTCAGTTGGGGGGGGGGGGTTGTGGGTAAGTGAATCCTTGACAGCTGGGCAAGGAAGAGTGCTCAGGAGGACAGCAGAGAGGGTAGGAGCAATGCTAGGCAATTAAAAGTGGAGGGTTAGAAACAAGAACTGGCTAGCTGAGATGTATATGTACTCAGCATAAGATCTGGGGAACAGAGCAGACACTGCTGGCAGGCCTGGAGCTGGGGAAAGCAACCAGATTGGCAGCCAAACTCCAGTCCTAGCCAGCTCTGGAAGCCTCACCCTGTTTTGCTCTCCCAACTTTATCTGGGACCTGTGCCCTCCATGGGCAGAGAGCTAGACAGGATCTGAACTGGCCTCAGAAGCTGTTTTCAAGATGGCTGGTCCAGCCAGACATAGTGGTTCATGCCAGAACTCAGGAGGCAGAGACAGGTGATCTCTGTGAGTTCAAGGCCAGCTGGATCTGCATAGTAGGCAGAATGACAGTAGAGACCCTATCTTGAAAAAGAAAAAAGTTGAGATGTAATCCCACAGGTAATAAGACTGCTCAAGAAGGCACCTTGTATGGATGGATGGTTGAATGGATGACCTGACATTCATGGGTTGGAAAAAAAATGAGCTAGTTGGCTGCCCTCCCCCAAGGCATCTTAGTACCCTAAACACTTTAGGCTGCTGAGGAGCCAACAGATAACATATATTTATTGTAAAGTACCTCTTCCAGAGGGCTGTTACCATTGAAGAAGGTGGGACCTGGATAGGCTAGGCTCTCCACCCACTGTTTTCTTTGAAACAGATAGTTATGGCAGAAAGCAGGAGCATTGGGCTGTAGCTGGGAACAGACCAGACAGGGCCCACTCTTGGCCACAGTGAACATATGCCCAGACTGCGCTGGTGCTAAAGAGGTCAGAGTGCAGTATAGAGTCCTCAGTGGCCACCACTCCCTTGGTCCTGGCTGTGCAACGGAATCACGAACACAGAGACATCATCGTAGGACACCTGCCCTTCAGTGCCACCATCGTCCTTCCCCTGTGTGTTGTGTATCAGCATTTTGGCCAACTCTGAGAACCTGTGAAGACCATCCTGCAGATGTACTTTGGAGATAAAGCAGAAAGCCAGAACCAGCCCTCCATAACTCAGTGCTCAGGACACCTGGGAGACCCCTTAAAATGTAATGCAACTATAGGTCAATTAAACAAGCCTAAAAGGGCTATAAATTAGATTATCAGACTAGACAGATTGTTTTTGTTCATATCCCCTCTTTCTTGGGATACTTGAGCCCTGATCAGGCCATCTGCCCTAAGTTAGTACTGTCTTTCCAGCTGAAGCTACTTGGATCAACCCAGGTCCAGTCAGGTCCCTCTCAGCTACAGTACCTGTGTGGGTCCTCTCGGTTGTCCGTGAGAAAGCTCCGCACAAGTCGGGCCACCTGCTCATTGGACAGGACATCCCAGAGCCCATCAGTTGCCATGACAACAACATCCTCCTCTTCCAATACCAGCTGGTCCACATCCAGCACTGTCACCTGCAAGTTAAGCCTGAAAATCCTCCAGTGTTCCCTTCCCAGCTCCTACCAGGTTCATTCTCTGCCCTTTCTAGGCATTTGGAAGCTGGGGTGGGCTACTGCTCTATCACCTGTGGGATGGAGAGCAGGAAGGGCTTGAGCTGGATGTTGGTGTCCAGGACTCTGAGCTGGTGATCTCCCAGGCCTCGGGAGACAGCCAGTGTTCCTAGTAACCGAGCCTGGAGGAAAGGGGGGGATGTGGTGATAGTGAGGGGCTTAGCACAGCCCAGTGTCTGGCCCTGTTGAACACAAAGGGGGAAGTGAATGGTGTCATCTAAGGGAGAAACATGAGGGAACAGACCCCAGGGTACCAGCCACAGCCACGTGTAAGGAACAAAAGAGCTCCTGCCTTCAGGGAGCAACTAAAGAGGAATTCTTGGGCAGGGGCCACTGACCTGCCTACCCTGTCCATGAATCAGTGGGTACTTGAGATCAGATTTCTCCACCTGTTTGTAGCTCCTGCAGAAGCAGACCTAGAGTCAGCCAAAGGCCCACACCCTACTGCAGCTCCTCCCATCCCCAAACCCAGCCACCACACCTTCACAGGCCCACCTTGCTCAAACAGGACTGCTTCAGGACATACAGATGAACCTGGACCTTTTCCCACCCTGTCCCCCAGCCCACCAGCTCACCAGCCATTCATGTGATGATCCCTGAACAAAACCTTCTGCCCTAAGTCATCCCCCTTCAGCCGCCGTGGAAACTCCAGTCGGGTGAACTCACCAGCCAGAAGCTCAGGGTAGATAAAGGCCTAGGGTGTGGAGGCCAGTTGCAGATCATGCTCCCTCCCTAGGGCCCTGTGTGGCCCTCGACCCAGGGTGTTGGGGATCCCTCTGCCAAGAGCACCTACCAGCTGCTGGATCCGCTGCCGCTCTGTTTCTGGGGTGAACTCAGAACTCAGCACCCGTATCTCATCTCTCCGCACCAAGATGGCTCTAAGCAGGTTGGAGGGGGTGAAGAGGTCTATGAAACGACCTCCATACTCACCCATAGCCCCCCTCCTACCACCCTGCTCCAACCACCCAGGGCCACTTTGTCCATGCTGATCCCTTGTTCAAATCCTTCCATGACTGCCTAAGACCTACAGGGTGAAGGTACAGCCCTCTAGTAGCTCCTGCCCGCTTTGGCATCACGGTCCATCTTTATATTTGGCTTATGCCAAGTACAAATACATCTTGGTCAGCCAGTCCCCCTCATTTCTAACCCTTCTTTCACTGTCTTAACCCCCCTCTGGTACCCTCCTGCCCACTACCCTGCGCATCCCCCAAGGGTCCACTCACCTGCTATCCCCAGCATTGGCCACATACAGCTTCCCCTGCAAGGACACAGCCACCAGGGCTGTACAGCCACCCACCTGGCCTGAGGCCTCCAGCTCTCTCCCAATCACATCATCCTGGAGCCAATCAAAGGCGTCACAGCTGCTGCCCAAACTGGCAGCCATTTCCAGCCGCCCACCCCCACCCCTTACAATCACATTCCCACA